GGAAAATGGGGAGAAATGCTCAGTGAGCGGATGCTCGAGCTCTCTGCCAACCCTTCAACAGCGGTACTTAGACCATTATGAAAACCTGTGCATTGGACTATGAATAACTTGTATCATTATCTTTATAAATTATATTGGAAGTAACTCAGAAATAAAGTCCATCATAATTAAGAAGCAAAAAAAAAAAGAAAAAAAGGAAAAGTAAAAGGCTAAGTTACTATTCGGAGGGTAACAGCCCCAAAAGTTAAGTCCACTTGAAAAATTGATATTTCAATTACAAGACTATAGACTGCCTCCTCTCCACAATACCTTATACCACAGCAACAGGGCTTAATAAAATAACACTGGATTACAAATGAGAGAGCTGCAAGACACAGAACCTATTTGAGAAAGAGTTTCTACGGATATTCAGTGATAACAGGGAGACAAAACTAGGACACTAGGAGAAACTGAAGCTTCCAACACCTTCAGCTACAAGAAGCATTAGACAGCCAAACTCCTAACCAGAAAAATGTAAAACCTCACTCTAAAGTTGTATTACCTCAGTTTGCATGAACCAACACATTACGTCTGGCTTTCAACAAAAATTGATGGCATGTTAAAAAGCAAGAGAAAACATAGGCTGAAGAGACACAGGAAACATTAGAACCAGACTGTATGGCAGAGACTTTGGAATTAAAAGACCAGAAAGTTAAATTAAACATGATCAATACTCTAAAGATTCTAACGGAAAAAGTGGACAATAGGAAAAAAAAAGGGTAATGTAAGCAGAGATACTGAAACTACAAGAAGGAATCAAAAGGAAATGCTAGAAATAAAAAAATATTAACAGAAATGAAGAATGTCTCTGATGGGCTCATCATGAGACTGAACATAACCAAGGGAAGAATCAGTGACCTTGAAGATAACGCAACAGAAATTTCCCAAATTGAAAAAGCAAAGGGAAAAAAGGATGGAAAGCAGAACAGAGCATCCACGAACTGTGGGGCACTTAAAGGCTGTGATATAACATAATGAGAATGCTAGAAGGCAAAGAGATAGAAATGGAAGAGATATTTAAAATAGTATCCGAGAATGTTCCAAAATAATGACAGACAGCAAACCACAAATCCAGGACTTTCAGAGAACAAAATCTGCGTGTGGGAATATTCTATGCAAACTACAGAAAACCAAAGGCAAAGAGAAAACCTTGAAAGAAGCCAGGAGGGGGAAAAAGCATCTTTATCTACAGAGGAACAAAGTACTCTGAAAGCACAACATGACACTGAGAAGAAGAATAAACGCAGAAAACTGACACTAGCAGACATCAAGATTTACTGTAAAACTATAGTAATCAAGAAAGTGTGACACTGGTTTATGAACAGACACGTAGAGCAATGAAGTAAAATAAAGAGCCCAGACCTTTACCCCCACACACAGTAAAGATCTAAGGCAATGGAGAAAGGGCAGGCTTTCCAACAAATAGTGCTGCAACAATTGACCATCCACATGCAAAAACACTGAATCTAGACACTGACTTTACACCTTTCACAAAAAGGGACTTAGAATGTAACACAGCCCTAAAGGTAAAAGCAAGACTATTAACATTTTTATAAGATAACATAGGAGAGATTCTAAGCAACCTTAGGTTTGGCAATGATTTTTTTTGATACACCAAAAGCACGATACAGAAGAGAAAACAGAGGAGCTGGACTTCATTAAAATTAAAACTTCTGTTCTGCAAAAGACACTGAAAAGAGAATGAAATGTCAAGCCACACACTGGGAGAACATACCTGAAAACATATATGATAAGAGACTTGTAATCCAAGAGAGAACAAATAACACCTAATATAGCAACTCAATTAAAAGTAGATCAAAAGATCTAAACAGACATTTCACAAAAGAAGATATACAGGTGGCAAATTAAGCACATGAAAGTATGCTCAGCTTCATCTGTCATTAGGGAATTGCAAATTATAACAACAATGAGACACCACCTATTAGAATGGTACACCCAGAACACTGACACCACCAAATCCTGACAAGGTTGTAGAGCAACAGGAACTTTCATTCACCATTGGTGGTAATGCAAAATGGTATACTGACTTGGAATATATGTTGGTAGTTTCTTAAAAAGCTAACCATAGTCTTACCATGTGATCAGCAAAATTATACTCCTAGGTATTTGTCCAAATAAGTTGAAAATTAAAAACCCACACAAAAACCCACACACACATATTTATAATAGTCTTATTCACAATTGCCAAAAACTGGAAGCAACCAGGAAGTCTTCAGTAGGTAAATGGGTAAACAGACTGTGGCACATCCATTCAATGAGTAATATTCAGTAATAAAAAGAAATGAGCTATCAAGTCATGAAAAGATGTGAAGGAAACTTAAGCACATATTATTAAGTGAAGGAAGGCAGTCTGAAATGACTACAAACGGTATGTTTCCAACTATATGACATTCTGGAAAAGGCAAAACTATAAAGACATTAAAACAGTCAGTAGTTTCCAGGAGTCTAGGGGGAGAAGAGGGATAAATATATGCAACAAATCATTTTCAGGGCAGTGAAGCTATTCTATATGACCCTGCAATGCTATATGATACTAAGCATTTGTCAAAATCCTACAACACAAAGAGTAAACTCTAGGGTAAACCATAGATTTTAATCAGTAATATAGCAATGCTGGCTCAACAATGGTAACAGATATTTACACTAATTAAGATCCTGACTATGGGAGAAACTATGTGAGTGTGTATATGGTGGGGGGAGTGAGAACTACTGGTATTATCTGTTCAACATTTTTGTAAATTTAAAATTGCCCAGAAAATAAAATCCGTTAATTTTTTAAAGCTGGCTATATTCTTTTATTATTTCTAAAAACAAATACCTAGAGTTTATTCTGGGTGTTCTGTATAGGAAGGGATACAAACTGTGATTAAAGATAGTTTCATTTCTTTTTTTTTTCTTTCTTTATATATTTTCACTGAAGTATAGTCAGTTTACAAATGCTGTGTCAATTTCTGGTGTACAGCATAATGCTTCAGTCATACATATTCATACATATATTTGTTTTCATATTATTTTTCACCATAAGTTACTATAAGATATTGAATATAGTTCCCTGTGCTATACCGTATAAACTTGTTGTTTATCTATTTTATACATAATAGCTAGTATCTGCAAATCTCAAACCCCCAATTTATCCCTTCCCACCCTCTTCCATCCTGGTAACCATAAGTTTGTTCTCTGTGTCTGTGAACCTGTTTCTGTTTCATAAATAAGTTAGTCTTTTTTTTTTTTAGATTCCGCATATAAGTGATATCATATGGTATTTTCCTTTTTCTTTCTGGCTTACTTCACTTAGAATGACAATCTCTAAGTCCATCTATGTTGCTGCAAATGGCATTATTTTATCATTTTTGTGGCTGAGTAGTATTCCACTGTATAAATACACCACATCTTCTTTATCCAGTCATCTGTTGATGGACATTTAGTTTGTTTCCATGTCTTGGCTATTGTAAATAGTGCTGCTGTGAACATTGGGGTGCAGGTGTCATCCTGAAGTAGGGTTCCTTCTGGATATATGCCCAGGAATGGGATTGCTGGATCATATGATAAGTCTATTTTTAATCTTTTGAGAAACCTCCATACTATTTTCCACAATAGCTGCACCAAACTACATTCCCATCACCTACACCAAGACATATTATAATTAAGATGGCCAAAGTTAAAGACAAAGAAGTGATTCTAAAGGCAACAAGAGAAAAATAAAGAGTTAGTTACAAGGGAACCCCCATAAGGCTTTCAGCTGATTTCTCTACACAAATATTGCTAGCCAGAACACAGTGTCAAGATATATTCAAAGTCCTGAATGAGAAAAAGCTGCAACCTAGGATAGTATTATTTCTTTATAAATCCTTATATATTTTATTTTCTTTTATACTCTTATAACTATAAGTAGTTACACAATGTTGTTGAATGGAAGTAGAGGTGGCAAGTATTTTTTGTTGTTGTTTTCCTCAATATTTTTCCCCAACATTTTACATTATATTGTTCACATTATATGTGAAATATATAATGAAGCTGTAGTTTTGATTTTTGTAGATGTCATTTTTTTGATTAAGTAAGTAATCAAAAGTAATCAAAATCTTTGCTTTGATTCCTAGTTATCATAAATGGAGGCTAAATGTTCTTGAACACATATATGAATTTCCTTTAATACAACTTTTTGCTTTCAAGACAGAAGGGAGACCATTCCTGGTTTTCTAAAGTGGGTTGAATGACCACTCTCTACATTTCTGTTGCATCCTGTTCCTTCATAACATGCATCACATTTATATAATTGTTCAATTTTTCCACATGACTATAAACTCCATGGGGACAGATGGAATTCCTATATTTTATTCAGTGCTATATCCCCAATACCTAGCTTTTTCCTTCATTGAAACTGGGACTCAATATAAACAGTTGTTCAATTAATGAATAAATAAATATAAACATCTCCATTAGCAGCAACTGCCACTCCAGACTAGAAAACACTCACATCCCTTAGGCATCCTTCATTGAAGACAAGAAAGGATGATCCATTTGCATTGTTGCTAAAAAGATAGAAAGTAAAATAGTTGAACTGATACTAAAGGCTAATAATTTAAAGACATTTTGTTTAATTGCAGTTATTTATATAATTTATTTGTTTTTTTTCTAGAGTGTAAGTACTTGCTAAAGAATGTTACGTGTTAAGTACTCATCTGAAAGTCTCTCTGAATCTTAGCATTCATTCAAGAAGCTGGAAGATCTAGTTTACAAAAGAGACCAAGACTTTCAAGGAAATCTACAAGGCAAATGGACAATTTACTCTCTTCTGAATTGCAAATTTTTTGCTTCCTTATGTTAACATTTCATCACCGTATGTTACCTTGCAGTCAGTGTGCATAAGATCTCAAACAAAATGTCAAAATAAAGTGAAAAAATGGAAAAAAACCCCAATAATCCATCATTCATTTTTATACCTGTAAGTGATGTGTTTGTGCTGCCACTTCTGTCCCGTTAATGCGTATCGCTTTCGACGAATATTAAATTTGGAGCTACCTCTTGTCTGGTCAGGTACGCCACACCGAGGCTTCTTCATCCAGCTGCAAAAAGCAGTTATTTTCCAGTTATTTACCGACAACCCTAAACACTGATTTGAAATAGAAATCAATTGAGAAGTCATGACAGTGATAATGAAAAAAGGAAAATATAAAGGAAAAATTTGTCAGTTTTCTTGCAACTTCAATCTAAGTAGAAAGTATATTTTTCCCTAAATGATCATGAATCACTAGTTTATAGCTCAGATCCTTTAGATAATTTTTTCTCTCTTTAATTCATTTTGAGCTAACTGCAGACTGAGGTGTTCTGAAGCTTCTGACTAGAATCTGCTGTTGACAAGATATGTGACCTTGGGCAAGTCATTCATCCCTTGTCTCATTCATAAAATGAGACTTTTAAAAATAAATTGTCACTAAAGTCTCTTCCAGCTTTAACGTTCAAAAATTTTTTTTAAATCTATTACATGACCTGAAAGTCCAGGAGTGAAGAAAATAAATGCTACTTTCTTCTGGTTTACACAAAAGAAAATTGTTTGTTCAAATAACATTTGCATTCCTCTGATTTTGTCTTCTTTTCACTTTAAGAATTACCTCAGTTTCCAAGGAACAGTCATTCACTTTGAATCTTTGATAACAAACAAATTTGATGCTTAAGAAAAATTTTTCTTAATATGAGGTTTAACATCACACAAATAAAATTTAAATATTAGTATTAGGAAAATAAAATACTGTACTGATTTATTAATTTTTAATACAATTGTCTAACTTCTTTTCTAGAGTCTCATTTGACCATTGCCATGTTTTCTTTGTAGTCTTTTTTCTTGTTCAGCGAGAAACATTTTCATGCTTTTGAGCAGTTTTCCTTTAGTGATTCAGAAAATGGCTTTACTGTTCATTAGCCCATTTAACTGAACAATTACACAACTAAAGCAGAATCTTCATGGTGTCACATGCTTCAGAAAGTAGAAATGAGAAAAGAATCAATTTTTGCTGTATTTCAACAAATAATTTCTATGCTCTTTACATAGACAATAATTGGCTACAGAAATGACTGTCTAGAGATGTCCATTTTGTGAAAATGACTGAAATAGGTTACATGTTACATGGATAAATCAGCTAATCAGCTTTTACGAACATAAGAATAACGTTATGCCACAATGAAAGCATGACTTTTGCTTTTTAAGAAAGACAACACTTTTCTGATAAGGATTATAAATTTCTCCTTTTTTATTCTGCTGCCAGTAATAACATAGACATTACCATTACCAGACTTAACAAACTCCAACCTAGTTTATAATGCATTGTAGGGTTACTTCAGAAAATCATTCTTTCCCTTTATTAAAGTCTCAAAACCAAATGAGATGTCTTGTCAATGCGAACACCTCGGAAGCTATCCAGCCCTACAGAACCAAAGTCTCTGGAACTAAAAAGGGAGACCTCTTACTTTCCACTAGCACTCCCAGGGCACACAAAATCACAGACTTTGAGACATTTCACTAGACTGTATAACACTCAAGGGCAGTGGATCTAACATACTCCTGTTACCTGTACAACACCAAACACTTAAAAGATGTTTAATAAATAGGTAGATAGGGACTTTTTAATGAAAAAAATATTTATTATACTCTGTAAGATCTAGATATATATTTAACTAACAAATATTAAGCATTAATGGTGGGCTTATGACAATTTAAATGACTTTTATATATGGGTGTTTCATTAACCATATTCCCAATAAAAAGTATAACATTTCTTAGCAAGTACTTATTCTGATTTATCTCACTGAAAGTACTGGGAGAAGAAACTATATATAATTTAAATGTGAATAAATTTACTTAATGTGGGTTGTGATTACACTTACATCCAGTGAAAGAAAATATTTAAATAAACACTCCTGGAAGAGAAATAATTTTGAAAAAGATAGTGGGATAAAACTTGATAAAATATAATTAGTTGTTATCCAAATAAAATGTATTTTCTATGAGGATATGTTCCCTAAAAGTACTGTAATGATACATAAAGTTAAAAGATGAAGACAGTGATTGAAAAGAATTAAATTTATTAGAATAGATTTCCATCTTAAGTCATGCACTATGTTGGATCCAGCAAAATTTTCTCAGTGAAGCACTGTGTCTTTTGATGGACAGGGGTTTCAGGGATGAGTATGAGATTCCTGTGCTGAAAGATATTTCTGCTAAATTCCTTACATGTTTCTTCGGTTTTTGCTCATTTCATAGTTTTTTGTTATGTTCCAACTATTTGTTCATTTATTTACTCGTTGCATCCCGATCCTTTCATCCTACAATATTTTAAGCTTTTACAAGACTCTAAGAGATAAAAAACTGAATAAAAAGATAAGCTAAGAGCTCTTGTTTAGCATAGTCTATAGGAAGACATGCGAGATAAAAAAAATTACAATATATGGGTTAAGTGTTCTCCCATCTCCATTTAGCTCCCCTGTCGTCATTTCTAATTTTACATGTAATTTACAAATTGTGAGTTTCCTCTCAAACTTGCACCATTTCCTCAGCCAAAGGTCTTTCCAATGCCTAAGACAGATAGCTAGGTTACATCCTCCAGTCAGTCATGGTATAGTGTCTTCTGCCTTCAGAATTCCTCCGTATCTCTCACTCTCACCAATGCCTTCTTCTCACTCCTAACGACAAATCATTTCAAAGCACAGATGTGTTCCTACATGTTCTGAGCACGAAATGCATTTATAGCAAGACTCTTATTCAGGCCTACCTACCGAGTGTGTGCCCTGTCTCCCTACTTCCCAAGATCCACACAAGTTCCTACAGAACCAGCCTCTTTCTGCCTTTGTATGGGGTGACCTCCTTCTGACTTTACAGTGACAGTCCTAATCCCCCTTGATTGCTCAACTCGCACAGTTAACCGTCTCAACACAGCATGCGCTGTAACTGTGTGTTCCAACTTGTACGTGCCTAGTTCTACCTTCCAACAGCCTGTGAGTCAGGACAGGGAGCCCAGTGCGGGGCCAGCGTCCAGTGAAGTCTCCAGTAAGGAACATGAGGTGGGTGGACTAAATCATGTGGGGTTTTTTGATATTCCTGTTGCACATACTGATCTCCCTGACTCCCTGTATGTTGCTTAAGGACTTTGTAACTCTTAACACCTCTGTGCCTAGAACAAATGCTTATTGAGTAGATGGACATTGTGTGGAAAC